TATCTTTTAACAACTCGTTAGATCATGAAGGTTATGTGCGGTCACCCTATGTCCTACAATTTACACCCAAACGACTCGAACAACATTGATAATCTATATAAAACTCGGAACCAGAAAACTATCAACGTACGCGCAATTTGGATGAGTAATTCTGTGATTAGAATATCCAGCTCCAACAATAGTGAAATTTTAACATCCTCGTGTCAAAGCTGACTGACGCAAGAAGGCTTTTTAACGATAGGCCGTTGCGGTTTTGCCGAATCACTCTTGGTAAAGGAAAGCCTTGTTCGGTGTACAAACAGTTGAAATCTCACACATCGCTCGAACGATTAGCAACTTTTTTAGTAGATCGCTCTAAATTTATCACTACATTCTTAAATGGGTTTTTTTGTGGTGCTCATACTACTTGCTATTTATCACTAGCATGAACGACTTGGGAGATACTATTATTTAAGATAAATATGTTTTCTAATTTATAAATATAATTTACATGTAGCAGTTTTTACACTGGGATTATTTTGAGTCATTAAACAAATAAAATTAGAATATTAAATAGTTTAAATAAAAAACTTTAACGGTTTAAAACGCGATATATAAGTTAAACTTATTTGAAAATGATTTTTAACTTCGGCCCGACGTTTCGGATGCTTTGCAGCAGCCGTGACCACGGATTCTGCAAAGCATCTGCAAAGTTTAACTAATATATCGCGTTTTAAACCGTTAAAGTGTTTTATTTAAATGTGTACTACTCGCGTAAACTATAGACAGTATTTATATTAAATAGTGCCAACTCCCGTGACCACGGCTTCTTATTCAACTGAAACTTCAGATAATTAAGTCAGATTTAAATATAAATTTTGAATTACTTTAACAAATATATTTCGCGTTTTAAACCATTGAATTGTATTATTTCAAAAATACTTTATTATTTTAATTATAAGTAGAATTATCGTTTAGCAGTACTTATTCCAAGTAGTGCGTTTATATATTTAAAAAGAACTTTTTTTTATATTTACACTAGATAAAAAGGGATGGTAGGAAGTAACTCGGAATACAAAGGGAATCCGATTATATATTTCGCGTTTTCAAACCAACAAATTAGATATTTAGAGAGTTCGTCTCAAAAATGTTCGTCTTCTAATTCCCAACACTTTCAAAGTCTACTAATTTCATTTGCTTATAAGTTCAGTGGTGTTTTATTAATTCCAGTCTACATACCAATGTCGTATTTGAACTTAGCATATCTGATATTACTGTATTTGTGTAGATTGATGGATACCACGCTAACGAGATCAACCTAGATCCATTTGCAAATGCAAAATAAATATTATAAATATACTATTAAAAATTAATGAGAGCATGTCCATAAATTGAGAATTTTTAAACAGAACCTGTTTATTGGATGTTAATGATTGTTTACGAGGATTATAGTAATATGATATATATATATTCGAAAACTTTAATATTTTTCACACGATGGCACTAAATAAATCAAAAGTGAAAAAAAAATCCGTAGCTCAATTGGTTAGAGCAACAGCACGTAACGCTGTGAATGCCGGTTCAATTCCTGGCCGAATCGTATGTTTCTTCAATTTATAATTGATTTTTTATTTAGAGAGATATATGTCTTTTTCTTTTATTGGCCCTTTTTTTTAATGTTTGTTAACGTTTATTTCTCATGGAGAAGACTGTTAAAAAATTTCGCTACTAATATGCTGTTAAAACATCTAACATACTCAAATATTCGATTCTTAATTTTGCATAATATCTTTGATTTTGTAATTAAGATAATTTAATCAAACGTTCATTTAAAGACAGCTGTTTAATTAGTATTTAAATTATATGTTAATTTAGATAGTGTACACTGTAGGTATATAAAGATTTTTTTACAACAGAGGTTATAGTATATGATAGGTGAAATAACTCGCCCATATTATATCTTAACAAGATCCGTTATAGAACCTATTTTGACTTTGAATATTCGAAATTAAAAAAAGAATACATAGTATTTCCATAAGCCACGTAGTTCTTCTGTTCTTTTAAAGTTTTCGTAACAAGAATATCCTAACAAGACAATAGATATGTTTAGTAATCATCGAGGAAATCGTAGCCAATTGTAGATATAATTTTCATTACGGCATTGAGTACTGTGCTATTATTTATATGGATCTAGTCCATTCGAAATTGCGCCTCGTAACCACGACCCGCCTTGCTCTCGATCAGACTCAAGTATATCGATAAAATAAGTGGAGATTGAATAATGATTACGTTATATATTGATCGATACAATCTCATGGATATTATGGAAATTGTATTGATATGTAGCGGTTGTGGAAATCTTATGACCATTTGAAAGATATTTCACATTCTTAATCTATTTTGTAATTACACTAGCGACTTCGTCCGCGTAGAATAGTCATTTTGGACATCAAAATCTATTTTTGCAAACAACCTCCTCAGTTTTATAAATTACTAGCTGTGTCAGCGACTTCGTCCGCGTAGATAATCATTTTGGACATCCAAATTTGTTTTTGCAACATCTACATCTTTATAAATTTAAGCTACCCACGACATCGGTCGCGTTTCGTCATTTAAAAAGAAATTATACTTTCACATATATACATAACACCACGGCGTTCCATCACGTTTTAAACCGTTAAAGTGTTTTATTTAAATGTGTACTACTCGCGTAAACAATAGACAGTATTCGAGTAGTACACATTGAAATAAAACACTTCTTTAAAACGTGATGTATTAGTTAAACTAATATATCTTATTTTAAACCGTTAAAGTGTTTTATTTAAATGTCCTCCTCTATCATAATAAATTTATATGTGCACGTTTAACGCTATTGCGTTTACAACACTTGCGATTATGTCCCCTTACAATAGTTAATCGTGCGAAAATGTTGACAAAGTTGACTATTTGGTTCACATGTCATTACTAAATTGGGAAATATAGAGTATATTTCTATTATACATCATTTATAGATATTGGTGTTAAGGTCGCCGAAGTCACTATTTTGGTGACTAAATAACAGCCGATTCGCAAATAGCAAAGTCAGAAGTCTTATAGGGCATGTAGTTAATCAGACTATGCTCAGCCCGAGCAAATGAAATTAAAATATTGGGATTCGAACCTAGAACCTCCCGCGCTCAACACAATGCAAACACCGTTTAGCCAAACCGTTTATTTGAGAGGAAATAAATATACGAACGAACAAGACCTTAATTATACCAAATTTTATATAATTGAATATTTATTATCAAATCTAGTAAATTAGTAGTAGATTTATATTATATAGTACATTCAGAAATCTTTGATTAAAAAACACAAATTTGAACCTGGTATTTATGGAGATTGTTATCTTGTGTAGAAAGAATTAGCCAAAAATGTTGTATGGCTAACATATTTTACCTTCCATCAGCTTACCATCCACCATGAGGGTCACTCATAATAATATATATGACAGTAGAAGGCAGATAAGTTCTAGTACCGTGTCTATTGCATACAATATCAGAATATGAATAGATGAACATGCCAAAGTTTTATGTATATATAAATTACGCAAGACTTACCCAAGCTATTGTTTATTTAATGTGTAATTAATTATTGCAGTAAGTAAGTACAAGGTCTGTTACGGTTTGTGATGATGTCGCGAGTTCCGTTGTTACAAATAACATCCACCCAACCATAATTATAGAGATACGAATTTGCTGCTTAGTTTATTTATTACTCCTTTACTAGTTACCGATTCTTCAGTATAGTTATGTGATAGCCAAGATAGTGTTTTATTTGTGTAGAAATAATAAGAAACAAAGGACGAATATTTTTTAATAAATTCAGGTTCTGTTAAACACTTTCAACAGTTTAAAACGCGAAATTTTCTCACGGGAGGACCGTACTTAAAATTAAATTAATCTGTAAATTAGTTTAACTAATACATTACGCGTTTTAAACCGTCAAACGTGTTTTATTTTAATGAGTAATACTCGCGTAATCGACAGTTTGAAATAGACACAGAAATGTGTTCGCCCCATGCCCCACGGGAGAAACGATATTTCTCTTATTATCCGAACTGGGTACTGATTACATGGTTACCAATACTTAGTGTCTCATTATTGCATTATCGACACAAGTCCGCAATTTTCGTATGAAAGGCGTTTATTAGTCTGACTTAGATAAAGCGATAAGTGAAACCAGAGCTAAACGTAAATTGATACCGAATATCGTGATCGATAATTTTAATAAACGTGACTTAAATTAAATAACAATGTTTAAGTTTAAATTATAGTAATAATTGATTTATGATTTGGAACGCAAATTTATTTAGGTAGCTTGTATTTCACGAGTCAACAACGTAGGTGGGATTTGACTGAGTTGTCGGGTCGTGGCTTTGATTCCCAACGAATACAGCATGTAAGTCTTTTTCTATTTTTCTGACCTTGTTGGAAACGTGTGTAAACGGGGCCACGAACCACTGACTACGGATTAAAACGCCTTGAACTATTACTTCGTATATTGGTTGGTTGAAAGCCAAAATGGGTCGACGGCGCATCTTAAATATGTAGAGAGGGAAGTACCTCAAACCACCATAAAATATCTACCTTGTCTGTCTTACTCTATGATATAAGAAGTATATCGTTCCAAACGTTCTAAGTAACTGGCTTACTAGACAGGACTAGAAAAGCATTGTCAGTAGCTTACGATTAGAACACATTGAATAAAACCGATTTAACGGTTTGATAACTGTAATATATGTGTTAAATTTAACTACAACGCTTCCTTTTAATCGTTCGATAGTCCTATTAGAATACGTAATTGAAATATTAACTATGCAAAATGTTGAAACATATCTGGTTGTTGCGGTCACAATTTCGGAGCAAAAAATGTCGGCGAGGGTGTTCATGACTTGAGAGAGCGTGGTAATTGGCTATGTCAAGGTACCAACCTGTCTCTACAATCTATTGACGGCTGATGAAGGATTTGTATTGTGTCTGATGCTATTCTGGGACGGATCATCAGGTAGTTGGGGGAACCCTGGGCAAATGCTGAATCAATTTGAGAGACCTTCTAGTACCAGATCCGAAGTTGGTATTAAGAATCCTATTAAATCCAAATCTCTTCACCATCCGCCTCGACTACCAGGTATAGCCGTCAGTCCTGGTTTTCACCTGCTGCTGAAGCCAAATCATACCGAAAAAAATCCGAATTAAATATAACTAATAAAGTACGTTTATACAACTATTAGCCAATGCTTGGAGAATAGTTGTATAGATCTAACAGCCAACAACCTGCGCACTTTTATAAATGTAGCTGGTACCTACAACGTCCGCGTCCCATTGTCCTTGCAAGTTAATCTTAAAAGATTTTTTCACTTTTCCACATTTCCTTTTTTTTCCGCTCCTATCCGCCGCAGCCTAATGTTTTATATGCCTATAAGGTTATAGGCATATAAAACATCAGGCGGCCAGAGAAAGAGAGAAAGGTTTCTCTGAAAACCGTCCAATCAAGACAAGAAGATTTATATCATCAGTATGGATTGTAGAAGACACGATTGATACTATAAAACTAATACATAAGTATTTAGCAATGCTAGTTCAATTGTTGACAAAGACAATGATTTAATTAAGGTGAGGGACCCTTGCGAAATTTGTTTTTACCCACTTTGACGACCTTCTCTGGTCAGGTCTGGTCTCTTATTAGTTTATGATGGTTTTGTAGGTCTTGGCAAGTGTATACGTTCAAAGACAGTCTATATTTTACACATAAACAAATGGTTAAATGGTTTAAAATTTGGCGTTAAAACGAAATAAAGGGTTATTTGTTGATGATTCTTGCCCACGGGGTAATCAAAACACAATCATTTGTTTCGCGTTTTAAACCGTTTAAAATAAATATAATAAAGTGTATTTTTATATGCAATTTTTTTTTGTAATTGTGTACAGTTAGCGTACACAATGGTGGGGACACTCCCCCCGCATCTAAGATATATAAGAATTTTCTGAGATTTTTTTTTATTTATTGATTACTATAAGACATTTACTCCATCATAACTTCACTATTATTTTCAATTCACCCATTATAGTCCTTTATTCTTCAAGCATGAAATGCCGAGTGTATTAGAAACAATAGAATGACTGCTTATTGTATAAAGGGTGGCTTGCTTCTACCTACTTACCAAGTAACATACAAAACAATTGGTTCGTTAGAAGTCTGTTTACTAACTTATTCTTATGGGTTAAAAATATTTTATATTTATGAATTATTATCCATAAATAAAGAGTGGATGAACAAGTTCTCCTGTAGATTTGTACTTGACAACCGTATTACGCGTTATTCAGAAATAATAGCCAAGTTGCCAAGAACAATCTGTCTGCACATTCGTTCCAAATTGCTAAGTTATTAGTCTCGTCTATGTAAGGCGTAAACGTGCAATGCAATAATTAAGACCTACCGTTGTAGTGAAAAAGCGTGGGAATTTTCATACAACTCGCGGCTGCCTTCCCACAGTACTAACGCAACGATTACTTAACCGAAAACCCTCTTTCCGGTATCGGATTGATACGTGATTGAACACGCTCTAGTCAGCCGATCGATTAGTCGATAAATTATACGTAAGAAAAACTATCTGCATGGTTTAATAGTTATAATACACTAGCTGTGCCAGCGACTTCATTTGTTTTTGCAGACTTCCTTATCATTATAAATATTAGATGTTACCCACGACATATACTACATTTTTGTAGATCGTTTAAAGAGGTATCATACTTTTATATTTTTTGGATATCTTCAACCGTTTTTGCAGCGCACGCCGTTTTCCCCGTTTTTTTCACATTTCCCATCGTTTTTTCCCCCCTAACGGTCTCGTGATGTTTAATACAACATTGATCTGTCCTCAAAGACCTTTACACATTACTATCCCTCCAGGAATTTTACCCAGGATGTAGAGGCGGCAAGTTTTGTATCAAAGTCATTATTTTAATTTCATTATGAAATCGTGACTACAATTTTATCACGATTAAATAATACATTCTACAGTGAACGTAAATTGACCTTAATAATTAAAAGGCAGTTAATATTTGTCAATTAAATATTGGGTGACATAATTATTATTAATATTAGCAGTTCAGCAGCGACCTTCGTTGCTTGATCAAAAGAATTAATTCCGGGTTAAATAATTTCGGTCAGGATCGGTGCAAACTGATCAACTACAGTCTGAATATTACGATCTAAACAACACAAAAGTGGCAAAGTCTGTGTCTAGATAAGAGATAAGAAAATAATAAATTAATCTTAAATACTGTCTGTAGCTTGCGCGAGTAGTACACATTTAAATAAAACACTTTAACGGTTTAAACGCGATACGGTTATAAACGGGTCTCCCCGTGACAACAGCTACTACAAAGCATCCGAAGTTAAAAATCATTGTCAAATAAGTTTATCTAATATATATCGCGTTTTAAGCCGTTAAAGTGTTTTATTTACATTAATCTTAAACAAATTTACAGACTCCTCTAAAACATGTTGGAATTAATATATAAATTTTGTCCGGGTCACCACGGTCCACAGATGGGAAAGCAATGCAGTAGTTAGCAGGTAAAATAAATTTTCAAATGTCCAAACTTACAATACTTCCATCCTTATTGTCTTTCCTCCTCTGTCATAGAAGAAACAAAAGTGACTAGGTAGTGAAATTTGAGGCAACTCGAATTTAAACTTCAATCTAACTAATTCTTTTTTTTAATAATCTAAGTTTTTACCCAGGATACAAATCTGGGCCCTAGTGAATTGCAGTCAAGTACAGTAACCATTAGACTCACTTAACAAAATATCTGATTCCTAACATTACATAAATCTTTATAGACAATGTTTAGTTAGATATCATCTTATTTATTATACCAGTAAGGAACGGAAGCGTAAAGATCATTGTTGCGATATACAGATGGATAAATAAGCTAGGGTACTGTTATTATTACATTTGTTTTCCTTTTTTATGATAGAGGATAAGCATGAAGTTCATTTGATGGAAAGTACCCCAATAATACCCCAACCGTATAACATCTAAACAAGATGTGCTATTGTAACTACGCTGCTACGCTAGCGCCATCTCTTCCGTCGTAGCTGGTATTTGGCGAAAGATTTCAATGTGCAAATCCTGACGCAGCATTACGAACCGCTGTAGTTGCCGGTTCAAGTCCCGAACATGATCTTAAGTAAAATTGATATATATAATGACATCATAATAATATTGTGAACGAATAAAGGAAAATTTCGTAACACTTTGAGGACAGTGCCGGGACGTTACGGCCAGTAAATAAATATGTTAACATAACACTTTTACAATGCTTGTGGTTTTAATCAGCGTTCAGCGGCATTAATTCTCTATTCATTATTGTTTATAGTCAAATGTTGCAATAGTACTTTGTATTAAGTACTATTTCAGACAGAAATTGGATAGAGCTTGGGGCTAGATGCGCATGGGGCACGTGGGGCTGGTGGGGCAAGTAGGGTAATTGAAATACATCTCAAACAATTCGTCATAAAAATTAAAGTTCCGGGATCACCATGTGAACAGTAGTGGCCGCTGGATAATTAAATGAAGAGCTCATGGGCTTTATTTATTTTATGGCTAAAGTAGGGAAACATTGTTTATACCAAGTTGTCGTCTGTATTAGTCAATGGTTACCTAATTTTAAGCAGATCAGTGTTGCTATTCCAAAGAATACTACTTTTGATATGTAAAGGCTCTAGATAGGTTTTGTTTAAAAATTCCAAGTTGGGATTAGATGACCTCTTGTTTTGTTACTCACCCTAAGACAGAAATCATTAAAATATTAAATTCTTGATTAGTACTTGAACTTACAGGAGGACGATTACAGGTGTTCTTTAAGTACTAAAAAACAACACGGGCGGGGCTGGTATCAAAAGCCTTCTGTGCTGCTGCTCTAACCACTGTGACACGATAGTTCAATTGACAGCATACAAAGATAGACAGAGCAGCAACAACTTGGAATTTTTTAACGTGTTTCAATCTGTCTATAGTTTACGCCAGTAGTTCACATTTAAATAAAATATTTTAACGGTTTAAATGCGATATATTAGTTAAACTTATTTGAAAATGATTTTTAACTTCGGCCCGACGTCCCCGTGACCAAGGCTGCTGCAAAGCATCCGAAACGTCAGGCCGAAGTTAAAAATCATTTTCAAATAAGTTTAACTAATATATCGCGTTTTAAACCGTTAAAGTGTTTTATTTAAATATTTCGATCTGTATAGTGTTTAAAGGCAAAATCTATTAAACGAACGCATTAAAGGTGCATTTGAAAGCGGCTCTTTAGAAACTCTACAACAATGAACCACTTCTCACACCATATACGATTATATAATAAATATATAACATTTTTTTATTAATGTCATAATACAGAATAAACAATAATGCAACGAATTAGTTTCGTTTGGCTTTCTATCGCCGTGTTGCAAGATTATTTCTATTGTATGTTATAGATAATTATACATTATTTCTCCATTATTGTTCTTAATTTGAAATTATTCCAGTTAACTGCGAAATATATTATCTGTGACATTTTTATCTGCAATATTAAATACAGTCTGTAGCTTACGCGAGTAGGCATTTAAATAAAACACTTTAACGGTTTAAAACGCGATATATATTAGTTAAACTTCTTTGCAATTTATTTTACTTGCGGCCCGTTTCGCAGCAGCTGCTGTATATACATCGTGTTATAATTATTATTAATGCAGGTACTTAATTAGATTACAGTTTCTTTTGCCAAGACAATAAACAGTAGAAATTGTTTCACTGATATTGTATATAAAATATATATTGCAGGGCGGAGATATTAAAATATTAAAGACTAGATTTTACTTTTATACTGCAATGCATGACAAATGCTAATTTAAAATTATATTTTTTTGTTAATATATATAATAAAAAAGTAAAAAAATTTTTAGTGTTACCTGCGAAGTTTCTCATTGTGTAATAATAATTTAGAATTTACAAAAATACAAATTTATTGTATTTTTTGTGTTAAAACGTACGCAATTAGACATGTACAATGCAACTGAAAATAAATTCGCTAAAACTACACACTCTCAACAATGTTACGTGTAATACAAACTCGGTT